TTTTTTTTTTTTTTTTAACGCACACGTGGGGGGAAATGGTAGATAACCGGTAGAATCATGTGCACATTTTGAATCTATCTGCTGAGTTGGTTTTTGCTCTGATTCTAGTCTTTCATTTTTTTTTTAATTCTGACTATGCATGGAAGATATGGCTTGTGTAATAAAGTGGTAATTATCCAAAATTAGGGTAGCTTATGGGTGGTTTGTGGGCCATTTTGGAATTTACCTTTTTTACCCTGCCAAATATGTTCATTATTGGTTTTGTTACCCTCATTCTTGTCAATCTTCGGAAATTCTACAAGAAGAATTTAAGCCATTTTAGGTAGTGGGAAATGCTGCTGTGCATATGAAATCTCTGTATTATGTACACTTTCTTATCTCTCTGGCGCAATATTTGTATACAGTTCAAGTATGCATAAGCTACTTAATAATATCATTGTGGTTGAATCTCAGGAGGAGTAGATTCAATACTACGTAACTAGGTAAAGCGCACAAACTTGTGGCTGCAATTAGTCGTTTTTAAGGAGGAAATCAGAAGGCATTGTGAAAGCATTCCGGCTGATCATCCTTGTAATTACTACCTTATCTAGCCATAATTTTGATGTAAGGTGAAGGCTGGTGGCTTTAGCCCTCTATCCATCCTTTTGGACCTAAAACTGCCCATGTGTTTAACATTACGGCCTGTTTTGGCTCACAGCTTAGATGAACTCAAGTGGCCCATCTAGGAAACACGGATACTTGCCAGGAGGTTGACGTGGCGGTGTCAAAGCCTGGATAGAGAGTAGAGAAGAAGAGGCGAAGGCTTAGGATCTTCTTTTATTCGAAGGTTTCGGATCTGCTTCAAGCCAAAGGCCTCAGATCCGCATTGGATTTGCTTCAAAAATAGCCGAAAAACTTTAACGATCGATTTGCAACCAGATCTACTTCAAGCCTTCTTCTTCTTCATCTCTCCTTTTTCTTCTTCCCTTCTACTTCATTGTTCTGTGCTTCAGATCTGCTACGGGTGTCGCCCTCGGCCGCCCTTTTCTTTTTCTTTTCTCTCTCTCGATTTTAACGTAGACTTTTCCTTCATTTCTTTTTTATATTTTTCTTCTTTTTTTTGGTATAATTTATTTATTAACCCACAACCCACTTTGGAATTAGCCCACATCTCAATTTAGTATTAGCCCACTCCCCAATTCTACATATTAGCTCATTGCTCAATTGTAAGATATTAGCTAACTACTTAATCATGCTAGGTCTTATTATTAATGTTATTTATATAAAAAAAATATAACATTATTTTAATTAGTTGTATCCTTACCGTACTCGTATCCTATATTTTAAAATTTTTGTCGTATCCCCGTGTCTGTATCCGTGCTTCTTAGTAGCCCATAATAATAGTGCACTTGCTCTACGNCCGTATCCTATATTTTAAAATTTTTGTTGTATCCCCGTGTCCGTATCCGTGCTTCTTAGTAGCCCATAATAATAGTGCACTTGCTCTACGATGTTTTTTATTTAGTCTTTGTTTGGGTATACTTTGGAGTTGGTCTAACTTCATTTTATATTTGATGATGTTGATTTGTCTCATGAATCACTTGGTAAAATGAGCTAGATTATTGATTCTTTGGGTTCCTTTTCTTGTAAGCCCTTTTTTTGTAGGTCCTTTTTATAATCTTTTATTGATGATCCTTCATGTCCATCATTTCTCCCTTTTGTGGTGATATGGAAGACCATAGTTGTTAAATCGCGTATTGAAAGACGTATCGTTTTTAAAAAATAGTGTATCGTAAGATACGCGCAATTTTAAATAATTATTAATAAAATATATATANTCCATCATTTCTCCCTTTTGTGGTGATATGGAAGACCATAGTTGTTAAATCGCGTATCGAAAGACGTATCGTTTTTAAAAAATAGTGTATTGTAAGATACGCGCAATTTTAAATAATTATTACTAATATATATATATATATATATATATATATATATATCTTTGTAAAAAAGTCATAAATTCATAATAACATAGTATTTTATTAATATTTCACCAACTATTCAAGTTCCCAACATAGTTTAGTAATATCAAAATGCAAAGACCTTTAATTCAAATTTCTAACATCAACTACTTGAACAACATTAATATTAATCAGAAATTTTGAATTCAATTGAACAGTATTAACAATAGATTTTATTTTTATTTTTTAAACTATAACCACTGAAACAACGTTATTTCACTGGCTAGTAATTTAAAAGTAAGTTTTGGGGTGAAATAATGTTATTTCAGCCCCAAAAAATTAAAAAAAAAAAAAAAACAGAATTTCACGTATCGTACGNTTTTATTTTTTAAATTATAACCACTGAAACAACGTTATTTCACTGGCTAGTAATTTAAAAGTAAGTTTTGGGGTGAAATAATGTTATTTCAGCCCCAAAAAATTAAAAAAAAAAAAAACAGAATTTCACGAATCGTACAATACGGTGCAAACACGATACCTATCGTTTTTCAGGTGTATCATGACATATCGTACGATACTTATCGCATATTGTACAATATTAATAACTATGCAGAAGACTAAAGTGCCTAGTAAAATGCAAGTTTGTGCATGGGTATAACTAATGGTAGGACAAACAATATTGATATGCTTCAAAGAAGAAGACCTCAAGTTTTGCTTTTCTCTGTTGTGCTGTGTTATGTGCTGAGGTGCTACTGAAAGTATGGAACTATGGATTATCTTTGCATTTCTATGTTGCTTTGTCATAATGAAATAAGTTGTTTGTTTGAGTTGGTGGCTCCTTAGTCCTTTTCTTCTATAGATGTTGACTACATAGGGTTTGGAAAACCAAGAAAGGGGCCACCCGGTGGAATCATGTATTCTAGCTATCATTTGGGTTATTTGGTTGAAAAAAAAAGTTAAGAACTTTTACATTAGACACGAAGTGGTGGAAGGTTTATGGGTACGGGTTTACTCCTTAGCACTTTTTGGCCTTGGGTTGCAAAGGATTTTTGAAGGAACTCCTCCCTTTCACATTTTGGCAGGTTGAAGAGCTTTATGTTATTTTTAGTTGGGTTTTTACGTAATTAAGATTTATTATGTAGTGTTTTTGGGTTGGATCTTTCTCATGTACTAACTATCTATTGATAAAAATGACTGTTCCTTGTGGAAAAAGTGTCAGTGTTTGGTAAAGCAAGCATCCTTATTTTTTTGTGCATTGCATATGTGGAAAGATACCATCCCTAAAAATTCAAAGGGTGTGTAATTTCCTTGTTTTCATGTGTTTTATTTTGTGGGCATTCAATGCACTTAGTTATATTTTTCTATTGAGGATGTATATGGATTCAATTGTATCTTGTGGATGTGATCGTCTCTTTTGGGTGGTTATTATGATTTATGTATACAATATTCACCATGACCGAATTTCAGCTTTGCAGGTTAGTGTGGATGGTATGCTTTGCTGTACAATTTCAAACGACCGTTCTGTGAAAATATATGATGTGGTCAATTATGATATGATGGTCATGATACGTCTTCCATTTGTACCTGCTGCTATTGAATGGGTTTATAAACAAGGTGATGTAAAAGCCAAGCTTGCTATTAGTGACAGTGACTCCTCATTTGTGCACATATATGATGCGCGAGCTGGTTCAAATGAACCCATTATCTCTAGAGAGGTATATTGGTATATTGTTAGTTTCTAGTTCAGTTGTTTGATGCTGTGCTATTACGTTCCCTTTGTTAAGGTTTTATGGCTTCTGTCATTTTCTGTCCAGATACACTTGGGCCCAGCAAAAGTTATGAAGTACAATCATGTTTTTGACACGGTGATTTCTGCCGATGCCAAGGGAATCATTGAATACTGGAATCCTGCGACACTGCAGTTCCCAGAGAATGGGTGAGTATCTGTGAAGCATCCATATATTTGCGAATTCAATGAATGTTGGCTGGAGATCTCCACTAATAATTTGTAGGGGATTCTATCACAAATAATTTAATATTTGATCTTCATAAAACAACAGAATATGTAGCTGAACTATTGCTTGTGGAGGAACTTATAATGGAAGTATTGATAATTGATATGCAAATGGGCTGGAGTAGTTCTCTTGTTTGCTAATCTCTGTCTTTCTCTCTATGCCCTTTCTTTCTTTTCCTTTCTTTCCATTTTTTCCCTAGTTGTTTTGGTATCATATGCTTTGTGTGGGACACTCACTGCTAAAAGTGAAGTAATTTGAGAATATGTAAATCCACTTTTATGTATATGCTATTTGACCTTGTTTGCTGTCTAATTTGCTTGGTCTTATGTCTGAAGTAATGCCTAGAACACCAACTGAAGTCCAATATGTATACTAGTATCATTATGCATACATACCTATATGAGATTCGAAAATTTGTCCTAAATTTTCTTGTTTCCATTAATTGATTCCCTTTATACTAATATTTGTTTCTCATTTGCATGCAGGATGGGTTTTAGCTTGAAAAGTGATACTAATCTCTTTGAAATTGTGAAATGCAAAACAACTGTTTCTGCCATTGAGGTAAGATACATACCAATTGGCTCAGAAGATTTTTGGCTTAATATTGAATACTAGTACCAGATCATACCTGATTTCTGCTAGAAACGTGAATTCATCATAAGTTATGTGAATATATGGATAGTTGATATGAATATCTCATCTGTTATTTATTTAATAAATATTTGGAAAAACTCGCACTCATTCCTTTTCCAATTATTATTCACAACTATACCATCCTGTATGGCATTGATTCTCAGGTGAGCCCAGATGGTAAACAATTTTCCATCACGTCACCTGACCGTAGAATCCGTGTATTTTGGTTTAGAACAGNCCAGATGGTAAGCAATTTTCCATCACGTCACCTGACCGTAGAATCCGTGTATTTTGGTTTAGAACAGGCAAATTAAGGCGAGTTTACGATGAATCTCTTGAGGTAATAATTAAATGCTGCAATCATTTTCATAGCTTCATTTTACAAATTTTCCTTAGACATTGCTGTCATAACCACTTCTCTTGCATTGTTTAGGTGGCCCAAGATCTCCAGAGAAGTGATGTTCCCTTATACAGACTGGAAGCTATTGATTTTGGCCGAAGAATGGCTGTAGAAAAAGAATTTGAGAAAACAGATAATGTTCCCCAACCAAATGCAGTTTTTGATGAAAGCTCTAACTTTCTTATATATGCAACCCTCCTTGGAATAAAAGTAAGACATCAATTGTCCTGTAACTGCAAGTAGATTTTTGTTCATTGGTCTTGTCTTTAGATTCTACTGGATACAACTTAAGTCAGTTGCATTGAATTTGCCTTGTCAGCAATAAAAATGACTTTTAGATGGTTTTTTTTTTGTTTTTATTTTATATCCAACATCTTATTACTTTGGTGTTTACAGGTCATAAATTTACATACAAATAAAGTTTCCCGAATTCTTGGAAAGGTGGAGAACAATGATAGATTCTTAAGGATTGCGCTGTATCAAGGTGACAGAAGCAGTAAAAAGGTAAGAAAAATTCCTGCTGCTGCAGCAAATGCCAATGAAAGCAAAGAGCCTTTGACAGATCCCACTCTCTTATGCTGTGCTTTCAAGAAACACAGAATCTATTTGTTCAGGTATAAGAGTTATTGATGCACAGGAATCAGCTGTTGCTTATCAGTTTGGTTGTTTTCTTGAATTCATCCTGGCATTAAGGTTGCAATCTGACAGTATTTTTGCAACTACTAGATGCTTACATATGTTCCAAGTCATTGAAACATTGCCATGTCAAGTAGCAATAGAACTATGATATACAGACACCTTGGAACTATCTTGGATTTTTTTATCTTTTTTTTGGTCTAATCTAGGATTGTNCATTGCCATGTCAAGTAGCAATAGAACTATGATATACAGACACCTTGGA